TTTTTTTCCCCAGTTTTCATGGCCATGCATCATGCCTTATTTGCAGTGGCCGTAAGGGATGATTTAACATGAGCAAGGCACATCACTTTAAACCTTAAAACTCAAGCATAAAGGGTACAAATTGGCAAGTTAAATGTTGTAGGTCAAGCAATGACTGTTCACCATTGTTGATGTTGGGATTGAGGTACATAGCAGGTCCCTACTTGCTGGGTAAAACATCCATGGGTTTGCCTCTAAATACAAACAAACACAAAGCTGGACTATGACACACCGCTCACCACCAAAACCTATCCTACCTGTTCAATGCATCTTATTTCAAAAGGGGCTTAGTCATCAAGGTGAGATGCCTGAACACATTAAAGTCATTCCTTGTGAAAGTTATTCCTTTCCCTCTCCTACTCTTCAGACAAATTCAGGAGTGTCCCTATACTTTATACCACCTGAGGCTGGTGGGGAGTGCACTTTACCGAGGGGGGGGGGGTCTGGTGGTGCATGTTACCTTATGGGTATTTGCATGTGGTGCATGGTACTTCTGACTATGGCCCTGTCCGGTGTTGAGCCCAGCTCACTGACATCACTGGTTGCCAGGGAGCTTGGCAGGGCACCAGCCAGAGCATAACAGGTTGCTATGAGCACACTAAGAACACACGTCCCCCATTCCACAGTGACCCAATCAAATGCCATCTGAGGCAACCACCTCAGGCCTGCCTCATTATAAGGATGGCCTGGACACGTTGCTTCCCTTTTGGGGTTTAGTCAGTCACTGCAGAGAGATGGCTTAGAAGACATAAGATTGGTCAGCGAGGTCATGTGGCCATGTTGAGCAATATCTGCTAACTGATGCAAGCATTAAGATGCTAAAAATCTGGCTGTGTTGTGAAGTTTTTAAGTATCCACACATGTTTCCCAGGTTTCCTGACTGTTACACTACTTGTCATTGGCAGTGGGAGATGGTAGCAGCTAGGTGCAACGAGGAACGGAGGAGTATGGAGGGTGTTCTGAGTTGGTTTACCTTTTCATTCTTTATGAAAGGGAGAACGTACCCTTTAAAAACACCTTCATATATGGTGAATAGAATTTAATACTCAGCATTTTAAGTGGAACAGTTCCAGAAAATCCATTTCAAATACCATAAAAGTTTGCATCGATTACCTACATGGACATACGTCAGCTCCATAGGTATCTAATTCTATTGTACCTAGAAATATTTATTTTGCCTTAAAGAAGTAAGCCAAATTAATCCTTCACAGGATAAGTAGATTAATGAACAAATGTTGTGAGTGAAAAAAGAGAATATAAATAACATATAGTAAACTCAGTGTGATTGGCTACGACATGTCAGCACAGTGATAAGTAGTAAAGTCATCCTTCCGCCTTGTCATTTCGTCTCATGATATCTATTGATTGTATACAATGTCTGCATGTCCCACTAATGAAAAAGAACAGAGCCATTGATTTTCTACTAGGAAGCACAGGGTGTATTCCCTCCATTTGATTGCAGTGTTGTATCCTGACTGCATACTGTTACTGATACTAGAACATTATCGATTTCTCCGTTTGTTTCAGATATGGGCTGTTAGTGGTTATGTTAGAGGTAAAATACTTCCATAAGCAATATTATTATTTTTATGGGTTGTTTCTGTAAAAAGCTCTAGAGGTTTGTTGGTATATTCAGGATATTAAATTTGAAAAAAGATGAAAAATGCACTTGTAATCCAGGCTGATATCAGCAGGTAGAGGATATTAGTTCTAGATTTCAAGGACAACAATTTAACCCCTTTTTTTGACTCAAAGAGGAAATTTATTATAACAGAGAGTGTTTAAGTTTTGAAAAGTTTCTCATTCCAAAACACCTTGACAAGTTCTGCCAGAGAACGTTCTAAACATCTAGCTGTATCATAAGAATTGTTACTGTCAATATCATCATCTATTGTGATTCATCCCTGGAATATTATTTATTGCTGAACTTTGATTGATCTGATTTATAATTTTTTATTGATAAACACTCGCTGTACCTCTTGAGTATGTGATGTTTTTTTATATTTTAAATAAACATTAACAGGATTATTCACAAAAGGGTGAAGAGTTTGGAGCAGGCAGGAGAAGTGAACAATCTAGGACAACATAGCTGAACTGGAAAGGGAACTGAATTGGAAGATTTTTTCTAATCAGCTATTTTGTCCTAGATTCAGGGCCGTTGCAAGGATTTTTGCCTCCTCTCCCGCCCCCCCGACAGAGGAGAGCAGTCCACCCCTCTCTGCTCTCACAGGAGTTCCAGCACAGTGCTCTGCTAGAGCTCCTGTCCTGGAGGTGACAGGGTCAATAAAGAGAACCTGTCACCTCCAAATGCTATCACACAGGGGCTTGTTAGCTCCTGTGTGATAGCAATAACGTTAAGTGGAAAAAAAATTTGATTAAAAAATAATTAAATAAATAAGTAATAAATAATAATTAAATAAAAAAATAAAAAGGTGATTAAAAAGTATGGGGGGGGATTTGCATATCAATTAACCTCGATATTTACATATGAATGCTTATTGATATGCAAATTACCACAGCCCATTCATATGTCTCGGCCGGGGCGGTGCAGGAACAGCCAGCTTCGGAGAGAGGGAGAGAGCAGGGGGAGCTGTGGGCAGGGCTCTGACTATAGGAAACTGAAGATCAGAGCCCCATCGATTGTGCTGCTCCTGTGTATGGGAGGGAGGAGCTGTTTTTCCGCCCTCCCCCACCAGCGCTCTCAAGCAGCTGCTTGTGTTGCCTATGTGGTAGCGCTGGCCCTGCCTAGATTGTTCCCTTGCCTTCTCCAAACTCTTCACCCTTTTGTGAATAGCCCTGTAAGTGGTTATTTAATTAGTGCACAAAAAGCAGCGGTGCTCAGTACTCCATTGCAACCAATACCAAAATGAGCTTTCTGCACAATAGTAAGATGCTGAAAGATGAATTCTGATTGGTTGCCAATTATTGCACAGCATTGTTCTTTGTACTATTTACCTAAGGACTTAGGTAAAAAAAAAGTAGTATTGCACTCTCAAATCTTTTTTTTTTTTTTAAGAATGAATCCAGATCAAACAAATATAGTCATCATGTTTCCAAAATCTGGCTTCAAAATTTTCAGTTCTACTTTCCTGAACTTCCTGTCTAGTACAAGATCACAAGGGACAGAGCAGGCTCAAGCAGTTGTCTAGCTACTAGCTTAGGGAAGGGGGGGAGAAGGTAGCAAAGATTGCCTTGCCTTGCTGTGTGTGTGGGTTTGTGGAGACACGCACAGTTTACCAGCACACACAAGGGTGGCTCCATAGGACCCTGCAAAGGAAAGGAGCCACCCTAAAACAGGATATCAGGACCAGTGCTCAGGAGACAAGCTGATTCTGCAGGAAGCTAAAACTTTTAAACATCAAGAAGCAGCATCCTGTAAAAGTATCCTTTTAGCATCCTTAAAAACCTATTGACTTTATTACAACTTCACACAATTTGATTAAAGTAGGCATAAACTCAAAATGAGGCCCTATCCACACTTGCAAAACATTACATCACACAACACATTGCAATGGGCTGCCCTACGTGTGACAAATACAGCAGAGAAACCCATGCACCTTTTGAGCCTCAAGTTCTGTGCATTTTTTTAACTGCACACTCTGTTTCTTGCTTGGCGCACGTAGGCTGCCATTACCAATGAGTGGCATTGCATCCATCACATGTGTGTTCGCATTCTGGTGCTGCACTATTATGAATGCTGGCTGAATGATATTCAATTTGCTAAAGCACTGTGTGTCATAAACAATCATCATTTGTTCTAATACTATACTTATTTTCACCTTTTTTCATGCTTCTCAGTGGTGTCGATCTCCTGCAACCTCTTTGCAGCCACTTCCTGGCTATATGTACTGCAGCAATGGCTGCCAGCATTTCTTAGGGTGGATTTCCTGATGGCAAAAAGCAAGCCAGTGCTAGTGGTGAATTAACTCTTTCTTCCAACTCAATTTCTTCATATGGGGAAGGCAACCAACCACATCTGATAGGGGAATCTTTGAAAACAGGCAAAGCAAACACAAAGTATTATTTATTAAATGTATTAAATATTTTAAGAGGATTAAAAATACTCACAAAGTAGATCATATGAATATATATGCAATATTCCATTGCAACCATTATGACGGGTTTCCTGATGGTGAAAACAGTGGGCCATAACTGCATACTGTGTGCGGATATTGATATTTGTAGTCTTCATCGGAATCCCAGTAGACATGGTGACAATGCGGTAGTACATTTAGGGGACAGGAAGAGTGTTGTCACCCTATAACAGGAAGTGCCTATAAATATTTTCAGAAGTGAGCAATATTAAAAGCAATAAGATAATTTGTATTGAGGTTGTTTATATATTCAGTATCAGTGAAAACACATGATGATAAATAAACTATGTTGGCAACATTATGTTCTGTGCTGAAGCCCTGGAAAGCCAGAACCCTTAAAATATTAAACATCTTGTGTCCATCCCTAAATTGTACAGATACCAAGACAAATGTCATAGGTCCTTCGGCCTTTTCATAGTATAATTATTTGCATTATTTTGCTGGGCAGAGCGATCAGAGCCTCCTTGGTGAAGAACATTTCAGGTCAAAGAAGGAATGAGGCATCGCAATGTGTTTTCAGACCCCTAGTTGAGGGTACAAGGTGTGCTTGGCAAAAGAACGCTCCGCTTATCCAATTAATAACTTCACCCTTCTTATCTGTTAATAATTTAGAGTAGGATTCCTCCCTGGAACACACTGATGTGTTTGTTTTTAAAACATATGGGCCCTTTGCAGTACTGTTGTTTCAATGTCTATGAGTCTGGCTATGTCACTTGTCTGTTTCTTCCTGGTCCACGAGACCACCTGAAAAAATGGAACCCTTTGCGGGACGACAAATAAACATGTCTTTTGTAGGTTAACTGGACACAGACAGATATCTCATTCCATTCTGTTTATTTATTTATATCTTTCCCTCTTCTTTTGTAGTTAATCTGCTGGATTCGAAAGCAATTCAGGGGGAGCTGGGCTGGATCTCCTACCCGTTACATGGGGTGAGTTTACCAGACTGTGAAATGGGAAAATGCTGTTTCAGAACAATATGCCATTTAACGACTGTTTCCTTTTCATGCTACGCTGCGGCTAAGCCTCTCCTGGATGGTTACGGAAACAAAAATGTTATTTTCAACAGCGAAAGGTGGCTTGTGTTTATTTCCAAAATACCTTGTAGATGTCATCTTATCTCACACTTGCATGCACAGTGATACTTTATGACGTTATATCAAATCCCTCACCCTTCTGTATACTGTTATTGCAACTGCAATCTAAATAGAGACTAAGATGGCACCTTGGTTGTGAAGGATAAGAGGTTGAAGCTCAGCTTTAAGTGAACTAATGCACACGGAGACTGCTAAATTTGGTCCGGACATCTAGGCTTCAATGGTTATAAGGGGTTAAATAAAGCAGATATAATTAATAATAAGCAGCTCACAAGAATTGAAAATAGCCCATGTACTTATGAACTGCTCTAAAAATCACCAGATTACCAGTATCCAGTTGCCTTCGGGTTTGGTTGCTGAGGTGCAGAAAAAAAAGAATAGACTTAAATTGCAACTTTGTTTATGTAATAAACATGACATGGTATGATTCATTAATTTAAAACCAGCTCCAAAAAAGAAACAAAGAAACATAGGGGATTGGTTCTACATACAATCAGATTTTCTGTTTGAAATTGGGAAATTAAAAATTCAATTGGATTGGTTTCTCTGACCAACTAATTGTTTTGCTCGGTTTTCCTAAATTGATTCAATAGACCTAGAAATGCAATCTTGTAAAGAGCTGGTGACTGCAAACCAATCAGTTTTTGGCATTGATGTCCGCAATGAAATTGTCTGGTGACGATCTAAAATGTAGGTTCTTGGTGATACGGTCTCTGTATATAACATCTCCAACAAGCAGTAAATATTTACAATTTTATCTTTGCTATGTTTTAAATTGTCTAAATAAAAACCAATCTCCTAATGCTGATTTTATCAGAATGGAAGATGTTTATTGAAAAGCTCTGATCCCGGAAGTGATATATCTCCGTACACATCTGACTCTCTGTTCGTTGTCTAAACAAGAACACTGCTGGCAGTCTCTTTGAGTAGGCCTACTTCATTGTGAATGTGGCTGGTAAGTCGGCTGTTGCACCTGCTATCAATCAGAGCTGGATATATACACTTCCGGCCCCCTTTAGGCCAGCTGTCTTTCTATCTCCCTCCTGCCCAGTCATCTGACTAGCTTTATTAAAACAATAATAAAATCAGATGCCATAGACACACAAGGCTGGCTAGAGCTGGAATCGGAGAGACTGAAAGAGACCTTTTCTCCACTTTTGTCAGTATACCCGGCACTGACAACAAGAAGATTAGGACAATCTTACTCTACTCTGCTAGTAGTTTGGCAGTGTATAGATCTAGAGTGTGTACATTTCAACTACATCGTACACAAATGCACCAACAAATATGTCTACACAGTGCAGAAGAACAATAGTGAGTGATAGATGGCACTCAAATGCAGGGCATTAGTCTGGAAATGCTTTATTGTATACATGAGAATGTGGTACTGACAGCCAGCAACATGATGTGTGAGTGATTGTCAATGGCAGTCTTGTTACCCTGAGCCATGCCCTATGTAGGCTATGCAAAACTCCAGCCCTGGTGGCAATACACACTTATTTCAAAACAATGGGGCTTGTTCAAAACTTCAGGCCTGCAGGTTGGGTTACAGCCACAAGAGCAATTCAGGGCTCTGAATTTAGTAAAATCTTTGACATGACTTATTACAATTAGTACGTTAAAGGTATACCTGTTAGAAACAAATTTAAACTGGCCAAGAGGACACCGTATACCTAAAAAATCAGTTAAATTGTTATCATGGCATCCATTCTGTGCAGTGAGCTGCCCTGCTAGGTGACAGTGAATCTGAGCCTCTTAAATGCACATCTGATTCTAGAACTATGTTGCTATGAACTAACTGCACCCTAACCCACTCCCACTGAAACATGAGTGGGAGAGTTAAAAAACCGAAGAGGCTGCAGTTCCACCAAAAAAAAGTGTATGTAGCTTGTAGGCATGCTTCACTGATAAGCAAAGCTTCAGGAATTCCGAAAATTGCCTATCCTTTGCTGCCTCTTGCACATTTAGAGGATAACTGGGCTAGGGTATATAATCCTTGGGCCAATGCCATGGAGATATGTTAAAGTGACACTAAACTCAGGAGTTAAATCTTAAAAATGAATTCAAGTACCTTAACTATTAACAAAAATGTATCATATTTGTGTATCACTCAGCTGTAGATCCTCAGATCATCTCTCATGCTGACACTGTCCTTCCTTCTGAAGGGTGGCTACTTTTGTTCCCCATGGTCTGCGTGTGTTGCAAGAAGCCACCACTCCCGTGATGGACTACAATCTCGAGTTTAGTTTACTAATGTGTATTGAGATTGTAATTCATCACAGGAGTGAGTTTGGGGCACTGACTCATATACATATACAGGGACTATGTGGAACAAAAGTAGCCACCCTTCCAACATAAGCTTCCTTTGTGGGCCTAACAATGTCCTTTAAGAATACACGTTTCACTATTCCCACCAATCAATGTAGCACCATAATCATTTTTCATGTTACACTTTCTTTAGCCCAGAGGTCCCTAACATGAAAGGGCTAATAGTTGTGTTTATGTCCCATGCCAAATATTCCCAGTATACTGTGTGTGTTTCTATTGACCAGTGAGGTTGCCTATCTTAGTAGGAATGTGGGGTTTGGGATGGGCAAGCTCTGACACTACCCGGAGGTGTCAGAGCTGTGCCTGACATTTAGGAAAAGCTGGAGGTACTGAAAGCTGCTGTAGGTACCAGCTTGTAAATTACATCAGCTTTTTATTTACCGGTCTATTCACTAAGCTGCCGAGGGCAGCTGAGTGAACAACCGACCCCAAGTGAAGTGAGCCAAACACTGTTCGGCTATTCACTTCAGGCTTGTACAGCTGATTTCAGCCGTATATCGGCTGAAATCAGCCGTACATCAGCTTGCTTCGCATGGCTTCGGGTCGGCCGAACATGCTCAGCATGTTTGGCTGACCCGAAGTGCAGAAGGAGTTTGACTCAGCTGATCCAACATCTGGATCGGCTGAGCCAAACCTCCGGCAGGCTACTCACTGCTGTTCGGCCTATTCTTATAGATGCCGAACAGCAGTGAGTGAATAGGCTCGGCTGTTCTGCTCGGTCCCTCAGAGGTACCGAGCAGAACTCGGCTATAGTGAACCGAAGGGGTCCTGGGGCCGAAGCTAGCCGAAGGATCGGCCAAAGCTACGGCTTGATCCTTCGGCAGCTTCGTGAATAGACCCATTAGTGTTTAAATGACAGTTTCTTTAAATGAAAGGTAAACCAAGCTGACTTTTCTATCACTGTTGCAATGTTTCCTGGATTGCATTACAACGGTACCGATTGATTTTTCTTGCTGCCTGGTGCTACTTTTGAAAGTTGTCCAGAAATGGGAAATCCACCTAATTCACTGGGCTGAAGTTTTCTTTGCTAGTTTAAGACCGTTTGAGTGCTAAACACTTGGTGGATTGTCAGATGTTATCCTGCCTAATGACTAGTTGATACCCATTCACGCTTACGTGTTTTTTTATGTGCTGATTCTGAGGCAGAAAATATTCTCATAACAACTGGAGAGGTTCAGAGGAGAGCTGTCACATCTTTGTTCTCTCAGTTAAAATACGCTGCAATTTCACACTGCCATATCCAAATCCACTCATTACCAGAGGGCTTAATCCAGCTGTGACTGGGTTTCTGTAGCCTGACCTGCATACTTGGCAAGTGACCTAAAATTCTCAGATATGCGCCAGGCTCTTCAAGCCATGGCCACCGGCTTTTAAGTTGGACTTTTAACCCGTGTAATTTTCCCGAACTTTACAAGTTATCCACAGAGCAGATTGTTGACAGCATCACTTAAATAGCTTCTAAAGAAAGTGTGACACAAATGAAAGCACACCCTTGTACATTTATATATCTTGATCTGTGTCTAACAGATTCTTTTTATAGGTTCCTCTCACACATCAGATGCCTGTCTGGGTATGCTGCCTTTAAAATAGGCTCTTTGTCTCTTTAGCAAGTCCCTACATCTATACATATAAATAAATATATACATATGCCATCATCACATCTAGAAAGTAAAAAGTGTTGTGGTTGCCATCATAGAATCCTATCATGTGTCGCATACTCCCACTCCTCAAAATTACGCTTCTCCAGGCCTTTTTTTGTGCTGGAACGTGTCGGCACCTCTTGGCAATGGCCCTTTTTTGCTAACATTCCAAAGCTCCAACTCCCTGCAGAGCTGTGATTTGCATCTGCTCCAGCTCTGCAGAATCTACTTCCCCTGCCACAACCTTTCCTTGTCAATAACCTACCTTTTGTCCAATAGCCTCCCTCCCTAATACCGCATGTGACTTCCTTCCTTTCAGCCAGATGGGATGTGACCAGGGGCAGTGGGGCTCAGTGGCAGGTAAAGTTTCTTAAGAAATGTAAATACTGCTCCTACTCGACACCAACAAAAGGAGGAACACAGGTCTGAACAGCATCGAGGGGACACTCCTTCACCGAGCAGAATCAAGGGGGTACTCCTCAACTGAGCAGGAGCAATAGGGTCACATCTCCACTGAGCAGCAGCAAGAGGGGGCACTTATCCACTAGCCAGCAGCAAGAGAGGACACATCTGTGCTGACCATTTGCAAAGGGGCACTGCTCCATTGACCAACAATAAGAGGGCACTGCTCCGTTGAGCAGTAATAAGGTGACACTGCTCCACTGACCAGCAGCAAGGGGGGCACTTCTCCACTGGTCAGCAGTAAGAGGACACACACCTTTGACCAGATATAAGCTATATTCTATCTATCTATCTATCTATCTATCTATCTATCTATCTATCTATCTATCTATCTATCTATCTATCTATCTATCTACCTTTCAAATCCTTGTTCTTCTCCTCTCAGTTTACTCTTTTCCTCTCTAT